CAAGAGACTCATCATCACCTGCAGTGGCAAAGACCATCTCGCGGATAACCTTGTAAAAGGCCTGGACAGCGTCGATAAACATGAAGAGCACCGAGAGTTTGCGGGCCGCCTCGAAGCTCCAGGGCCGAAAATACAGCACCTCTGCCAGCCAATCCACCGAACTGCCTATCTCCAACTAGACGAGGGAGCGCGCGTACCACTCGGGCTCTCGTGATGGACCTGTGCCTTTTGCCTAACTGCGAAGAGCCCAGTATGGATCTGTAGTTGGTGACCTGGGATGGGGCCCCAGCCTTGAATAAACTCCAGTGTAACAAAAATTGTCTTTCCATTGGATGGGCTCGCAAACTCTGATCGTGCTGTTGACCACTAAAGGGTGATACACAGCAGCAAGTATGTGTGCAAATCGCTTGACGGTAGTGCCAGATATGCCATCAGGTCCTGCTGCAGAATCCTTGGCATGTAACATAGCCTGCTGCCATCTAGCCAGAGACGGGACATCCTCGAGCGCGATGTCTAAGTTGTGCGTGGTGGAGGGGCCCAGGGAGGGAGGTTGGGTGAAGAACCAATCTAGGTCCTGACCTGGAACAAGAGCTGCAAATTCCCCCATCCCGAAGTGTTGTAGCCACCTATTTGCGACATCGACGAACGACTGGAGGGGCCGACCGTCAATGCCTGCTAGTAGTGGCAGCGCTAATGCCGAGCGCTTCTTGCGGGAGCATGCCCCCCATGGCTCGCAACTTGCTGAACGCGTCTTTAAAGTCGTGCCCTGCCCATGCTCGAGACACCTGGCTAGCGTGCGTTTCCAGGGGCAGCTGTCTGGCTGCGAGGCGAATGCCCGACATGCGCGCTTGATAGTTCCAAAGAGCTGGGAGACCCTTCGAGGCTTGATCAGGCCTGCCTGGAAGGACCCACTTGAGCTCCTCTAAGCCATACAACGGAGGCCTTTGGGGATCCCAAAAGCTGCTGTGTTCTCTGACCTAGAGTCTGAAGAAGGCTGTGATCACGCGGTCTTCGATGGCGAACCTCGGCAACTTCTGAAACGGCAGCTCCAATAATTGATGCAAGCGCCAGCAGGGCCCCAGTAGAGCCAGCCGCAGTAGTGCAGTTAACTGCTGAAGCCTCGGAGCCCATCTTTTAATAAGATACCCTGGGTTCCTGGAAGACGTCCTCCAAGTAGTGGTACGGTGACAAAACCATGAGGCCCCAGCTGTGCTACTCGAGGTCTGAGCCCAAGCATGAAAAAGCAGAGCCTTGCGTAACCGTAAACAGCGCAAACCTGCCTGTCGAAAGCTCCGTAGCTGTATCGTGCGTTGGTCCATCATTTCCAGGGTGGCATCTGTGATCCAGGGCTGCCTTGGTGTACGGCCGCGTGCCGTGCTCCTTACTGGAAAAGCGGATTCGATGGCTGCGTGCACGTGCCTGGTGGTAAACTCGCAATGCACTGACCGGGAGACAGTAAAAGGAATCGCTGGCGCGTCTCTCATCAGCTCCGCGAAATGCTGCACTGCTTCAACTTCTTGAAACTTGGCAGTGTCGCACTTGGGCTTGCGCTGTCCGCTGGCACTCCACAGTGCGCTGGACAGCAGCAGCGAGAGGGTGGCAGAGACGACGAGATGGTCCAGGATGGATATGGTGAGATCGATGTCGGACACCACGCGATGCGAGGACACCTGGACCCCCAATGAACAAACAACATGGTCGACTCTACGCCCTGACGAGAGCCCATGGGGGGCTGGGAGGAACCACGTAGCAGACGATGGTTGATTTGATTCCAAGAAGGTAGAAGGTAACCACAATTCGGATCCCAAGAGAAACTCGTGAAATAACTGCCCTGGGAGGTTCTGAACTTCTGCTGCAACTGATCCTTCGCATCGAGACGTAGCCGATCCAACTCGAGCGTTTGCGTCGCGTAGGCGTGCTACTTCAACACCTGGAGTACGATGTGAATGTAATAGACGAGACAATTCCTGCCACCACTGCTTTAAACAATCAGGCCGTGCTTTGCTTTGCGGCGCGTGGGCAACCAAAATGTCAACGGCAAAGTGCTCCACTCGCACGGCCGCGAACAGATATCTTGGCTGTGCTGCAAGAACGCGGACATGCTCGGGCTGACAACGAACTCCCGGCATGACCTCAATGCCCGTGTGCACGTCTCCAAAGACCGTTCCAAGATGACGCATTCTCCCAGACAGAAAGAGCCCAACGGGTTTGAACTTCTCGGCGATACAGGCTTTGTGGGGGTTCAGGGAGAGAACGCTGGCGGCGGCCACAGATAGTGAAAGTGATTTCGTGACGGTGCGCCGTCACTTGCTGACTTCGCGCCCTTGGCAGAAAAACGTAACAACCTAAACAAGGCAGACGCCTTCTCCTGCGCAGTCTCTTGAACATGCGGCAACTCAGCTCCTGGGGTAGGATGCTGCGCTTGGACCTGACGGGACTCGAAGCGAAGCCACAGCCAGCTCAACTGGATGTCATCGTCTAGGCATACTCTCCACTTGCCGTCTGGAGTAGGTATGTCGCCCTTAATCATAGATACCAAAGTACATATAGTATCTGCTGCCTCGTTCCATGGGTCCCCGCTGTGACCTGCAACGTGAGCCCAAGAGGTAGATCTGGCAAAGTACTGCACTACCGTAGCTAGGCTGTCTAGTTCTGACTGGGGACGTCGGACAGATGGGCTAAGGGCTTCTCCTTGGGCAACTCTAAGGACTTCCGAGCAATCGCAGAAGAGCGCGAGGTCAACCTCGTGAGTGAGGCTGGCGTAGGGGGGCTGCAGGAACCAAGCGAGCGCCCACTGGGCATCTTGCAGCTCCGGGGCAGGATGACCACCTTCAAGAGCCCCTCCTTCAAAACCCAAGAGAGCCTGACGACCTAGGGAGTCCCCAGCGAGCACAACGAAGGCCCACGTAGGTCCCCCTTCTTTGCTGCCCCCAGAGCCGTCCGTGTATATGTGTATACTGTTGACCTCGCTGAGGTCGTCGATCGCGTATAGCCAGGGCATGTGGTGCAACGTGGATGAGTGCCAATACTTGGCGAGACTCCAATGCAAGTTGTTGAGTGGTCTGATCCAAGGCTGAAATAGAATGGAGCAAATGGGGGTAGTGTCGGGAAGAGGGCTGAAGTGGCATCCTCTGGACTGGTATGCTGGAAACCCCGATACGTCGCTGATGTTCACCTGACCGGCGGGGAGAGATGTATCCCGAGCCTTGCCTGCGCTCTCCCCTTGCAGAGCAGCGCGTCGGGGTCTCAGAAACTCTGCCCGTTCTCTCCGTTGTTGGTGACGGGCCTCAGCGGGTGATCGTCGTCCTCCATGACCGCCTCGGTGTGGTCGCTGTCCGCAGCTGCTGGCAGGCACAGGGATTTGTCCGCTGGCATGGCGGCGCCTCCTGCTATGCTTGCCGTCCCCCTTGCAAGGAGCTTCTGCTGGCCAGGCGCTGCTGCTGCTGCCTCGAGCCTGCGCGCTCCCGCCGATGGCGTTGACCTGCGCCCTCCTTTGCCGATGTGCTGGAGCTTGCCCGTCTCCTGCTGTGCTGCTGCTGTTGCTGACGCGGCTGCAACTGCTGCTGCATGCGCTGGAGCTGCTGCTGCTGCTGCTGGGGCTGTACTCGCCTGCGCCGTCCGTGCTGTCGGCACCTGGGCGGCCCCCTGGACTGCCACTGGCGAAGCTGATGTAGATGGAATATGCAAGGCCGTCTGGATAGTGGACATGCTGGCGGCAAGGGCCAACAGACTTTGCTGCAACTGTACTTGATTGGCCTGCAACTGAGCCAAGAGCTGTGGCTGTGCGTTCTGCTGCTGCTGCGTTTCGAAGGGGACTCTGAAACGATGGTGTCGAAAATGGAGGAGTGGCTGTGCCGTCGACTGCCTCGACGGAGAATGAGACTGCTTTCTCTCGCTCCTTGGCTGCTTCCTCCTTCTCTTTGGCTTCCCTCGCGAGGATCTCGAAAGATTGTAGTGCCTCCTGCGCCTGTGAGAGATCTGTGGCGGTAGCTTCTCTTGCCTTCTCGGCCGTCTCTAGCGCTATCTCCCCTTCTCGCTCGGACTGTTGGGCCTCCTCGAGGCGCTTGGTGGCCCTGGTGATGTAGCTCTGCTGGTTGCTGACTCTCTCCGTGGGCGGGTAGGCGTACACGCGTATGAACTGCAGGATGCGATGCTCTTGCTTTGCTGCTGCACGGATGGCTTGATCGGGGCCCATCGCTGTCTGCGCCTTGATCTGCTTTTCGACCGCCTGGATGGCGTCCTTGATGTGAGCTCTGTGGGTCTCCAACTCTGCTGGATTCGCCGGCGGTTCGACCCAGAGCCTGTGAGACTGTGCTTCTTTGAGCGTAGCTACACCAGCGGGAAGGGACTGCGTAGCTGCTGTAGGAGCTGATGCTGATGCTGCTTCTGGCTCTGGGCGATCTGTGTGCACACGCTCTGGCCCCCTGGAGACCGAACGCCCATTTCGTCTCTTGTACGGCTTGTCCTTGTCCTTCCTGGCAGGGTAACATGCTAGACACCATGCCGAAGAAGCCAATTGCTCTGCACCACAGCGTGAACAGCACCATGACGACCGTGATCGGGCCCAGGGGGGCGCCACGCTGCTGTGGTGCTCTGCGAGCAGACGTCGCGCTGCGGCGACTCGTAGAAGTGATCGTGCTGCTGATCGTCGCTCTCTGGCACGACGGTGCCAGGCAGATTCAGCCTCGCGGCGCCCTCGGGGCGCCGTGGCGCGCGCGGGCGCGCCCAGGCACGGCCTGCCCGCGGCCGACCGCGGGGCGGCGCGCCTGGCCGACCGCCCCGAGGAGGCGCGCGGACTCGGGGCCCGCTCCCCGCGCCTCGAACCGGGACGGCGGCTGGAGGAGGGAGGGAGGGAGGGGGGGAGGGAGGGAGGAGGAGGAGGAAGGAGGAGGAGGAGGAGAGGAGGAGAGAGGAGGGAGGAGGAGGAAGGAGGAGGAAGGAGGAGGGGCAGGGGGGGCAGGAGCAGGCAGGGGGGGTGGTCTGCGCCGCGCGCGAGGAAGATCCACCCCGTGCGCTCCAGGGGCAACCTCCTGCTCTGCACCCTGCTGCTCGGCGGCCCGGGGCCGAGAACATCGGCCTTGCGCTCGAGCGTCGGCCCCTCCCAGATCCCCCCCCCCCCCTCTTCTCCTCCTCCTCCCTCCTCCTCCCTCCTCCTCCTCCCTCCTCCCTCCTCCTCCTCCTCCTCCTCCTCCTCCTCCTCCTCCTCCCTCCTCCTCCTCCTCCTCCTCCTCCTCCTCCTCCTCCTCCTCCTCCTCCTCCTCCTGTCTCCTCGTCCTCGTCTCCTCTTGTCGGCCTCCCCGTCCAAGCACTCGAAGCGGGGAAGACTGCATCAGCAGAAGTGTTCGGCGCTCCGCACGGATATCTTGGATCGGCGCTGGGCCCTCCTGGCGGCGGCTCCAGCGCCGCCCCTGGCGCGCTCCGCGCGCCAGGGAGGGGGATCCAGCGCAGGTCCAAGAAATCCGCGCAGAGCGTCGAAAGATTGTGCATTGGTGCAGTTTGTTCTTTGTTCTATCTACGCTCCTCTCGCCTTCTACCGCTGAGGAGGAGGATGAGGAGGAGGATGAGGAGGAGGAGGAGGGTATCCGGAATGTCCTGTGCGCCACGGAGGATGGGGAGGAGGAGGGGCGGGGGGAGGGGGAGAGCGAGGAGGTGGAAGAGGCAGGAGGGGGGAGGGCGGTGCTGAGAAGGAGGAAGGAGGAGGGGAAGAAGGAGGCGGAGGAGGCGGCGGACAAGGAGTGCGAGGAACACATTACGGATAAGGAGCAGCAGGAGGAGGAGGACGAGTGGCAAGACCAGGACCAGGACAAGGACGACGAGTGGGAAGACCAGGAGCAGAGGGAGGACGAAGGGGAAGAGGATGAAGATGCAGGAGAGATGATACATTACACGAGAGACAGGAGACAGGACACATTAGTTGGAGGTGGAAGGGGAGGAATGGGCAGGACGCCAGCCATGCAGCCCATGTAGACGCCTTTTGGTATGATTATGCTCCTTGTCGATCGTGTTTACGATGGTCCTTATGCGGATGGTATTTCTTCTGCCTGCGACAACTGTTATGCATCGGAGGCGAAGGGGTGATATCGCAGTGATGTGGAGAGCCCCCCACCAGGAAATCGGTTTCGCTCGTGCAGGCGAGGCGAAGTTGCGCGGGCGGGCGAGAGGAATGAACCTTTCTCTGGCGAGGGCGCCGCTGGGCAAAATGTCCGCCCCTTTCCCCCCCATTGGCCGGCGGTGGAAGGGGTTGTCGCGCCGTGGTGCCCCGATGGTGTCCCGGAGTGCCCCGCGGTGCCCCGCGGTGTCCAGATGGTGTCCCGTCGGTGTCCCGTCGGTGCCCCGTCGGTGTCCCATCGGTGTTCTGTCGGTGAACCCGTAGTGAGATCGATAATGAGATCAATAGTGAGATCGATAGTGGTAGCCATAGTGAGATCGATAGTGAGATCGATGATGAGATCTATGATAAGGTCGATCGTGCGATCGATAGTCAGATCTATCGTGATATCGATAGTGAGATGGATTGTGAGATTGACAGGAAGATCGATAGTGAAAGGGGCAATGCGATCAATTGTGAGATCCGTAGTAGGATCAATTGTGAGATCGGTAGTGAGATCGATGGTGGCACGGTGGGATCGATAGAGTTAGATCGATCGTTAAATTGATTGTGAGGTATGGTTTGCTCGATAGTGAGATCGAGGTCGATAGTGGTATCGATAGTGACATCGATTGGGTGGGACGTTGGTTTCCCTTCCCCTGAACCTTCTTATCACCCGAAGGGTGGTCGTATAGGCACAGTTGCGTTTGTTCATGCGCTTGTGTTGGCGCGAGTAAGAGTGATGGGCTGCTCATGGGTCGGGAACTTCGAGCCAAGACGCAATCGGGGGGGCCCAAGCGGAGCGGTGACCACACCGTGTGGTAGAAAATTTGGATCCAGGGTGGCCGCACGATTTTGGGACTCGGGTCGTTCTCCGAGGATGTGTCGGGCAAGTGGGGCCTCCAGGGTCCCAAAGCGCTGCGGTGACGGACCGTGCGTCGACACGACCCGAATCAGCGGTATGCCCTCCTCTGAGGAGGGTGTACTCGTTTCAGCTAGTTAGCTGCCATGCCTCATTCAGGCAATGTCGCCGTCAACGCGGCGTTGTCCATCCTATTAGCTGACATTGCCAGCGGCTTGGTCGGCTTCTTCGTGTCTACAGGCCTCATCGTCCTCTTCGGGGAGATCTTGCCTCAAGCGGCTTGCTCCAGGTACCCAAAGACAGCAACAGCATTATGACGGTGCACGTAGGAAAACATTTGATGAAGCAACCCTCCCGAGCAATGGTTGCATGAATGCTCCGTCAATTGATCGAGCGTCGCATCGTTTGACGCCGAGGGCTTTCACTTGAACCTGGCTGCTGCAATATATAGAGGGACATGGTTGGAAATGTTCATGTCGGTTGGGATCCGTGCAGGGCTTGCACCATGCCGTGTGCATAGATGCGCTGGATGTGGCCATTAGCTACGCAATGTGCACATGAGATGCCACAATTCCGTGTTGTCCTATTTCCGCAAAAAAATAGCTTGGCGAAGGACCCAACCATATGCAGCTGTGGGTATCGCATTCGGGGGAGCCCCGTATGGGGCCACGAAACGCTGTATTGGGTAGGGGGGGACGCATGCGAACTGCGCCACTGGGAGCTTCGGTGGAGCTCCCTATGGGGCCACGAAACGCTGCCCTGGGTGGGGGGGAACGCATGCGAACTGCGCCACTGGGGCCTTCGGTGGAGCTCCCTATGGGGCCACGAAACGCAGCCCTTGGTGAGGGAACCGCATGCGGGCTGTGCCACTGGGACCTTCGGTGGAGCTCCCTATGGGGCTACGAGACGCTGCCCTGAGTGGGGGAACCGCATGCGGGCTGTGCCACTGGGACCTTCGGTGGAGCTCCCTATGGGGCCAGGGGGAACCGCATGCGGGCTGTGCCACTGGAACCTTCGGTGGAGCTCCCTATGGGGGTACGAGACGCTGCCCTGGGCGGGGGAACCGCATGCGGGCTGTGCCACTGGGACCTTCGGTGGAGCTCCCTATGGGGTCACGAACCGCTGCCCTGGGTGGGGGAACCGCATGCGGGCTGTGCCACTGGGACCTTCGGTGGAGCTCCCTATGGGGCCACGAACGCTGCCCTGGGTGGGGGAACCGCATGCGGGCTGTGCCACTGGGACCTTCGGTGGAGCTCCCTATGGGGCCACGAAACGCTGCCCTGGGTGGGGGAACCGCATGCGGGCTGTGCCACTGGGACCTTCGGTGGAGCTCCCTATGGGGCTACGAAACGCTGCCCTGGGTGGGGGAACCCCATGCGGGCTGTGCCACTGGGAACTTCGGTGGAGCTCCCTATGGGGCTACGAAACGCTGCCCTGGGCGGGGGAACCCCATGCGGGCTGTGCCACTGGGAACTTCGGTGGAGCTCCCTATGGGGCTACGAAACGCTGCCCTGGGTGGGGGAACCGCATGCGGGCTGTGCCACTGGGACCTTCGGTGGAGCTCCCTATGGGGCCACGAGACGCTGCCCTGGGTGGGGGAACCGCATGCGGGCTGTGCCACTGTGACCTTCGGTGGAGCTCCCTATGGGGCTACGAAACATGTGAGGGGTGCGCCGAGAGCAGAGGCAAGGAGGGGGAGGAGGGAGGAGGGCGAGGAGGGGGAGGAGGAGTAGAGGAGGTGGGACGCGGGGCGCTGTCTCTTCAAAACGAGGACCCAACACCACAGGATGGTTGGGAAATATAGACATTAGACGCACTGTCGGCCATGAGGGGTTGCATCGTTGTGCCGCAGTGCCTGGATTGTCGTTGAAGCTTTCCGTGAGGCGCGGCTGCTTGGGACGACCCAAGGCATCGGAGCCTGATGGATTCGTGCGAAAGCTATGTCTAGAGTCGGGGTCACATGTTCGATGTGTGTTTCCATGTGTCGTCCCAGGTATGCTCTTCAGGTTGGGGCGCGAACCGTCCTGATCACGCAGGCGCTCATGTACTCTCCCCTCTACATACTCACCAAGCCTCTGAGCATGATGCTGGATCGCCTCCTGGGCAAGGAGGTGCTCACGGTCTATAGTCGATCCGAGCTGCTGGAGATCGCCGCTTCAAATGGGCAACCAATAAACAATCAGACGCAAATATTGCCTAGTGATCGTTTTCGTATTCATTGTTTTGCCGATCGGCGCGGGCCCTCGCACCCCTTCCCCCCCCCCATGGAGTAGATCTTGGCTTCGTTTGTTGGCGCCCGTTTCGAGCAGGCGGAGTCTGCCCCACAGGACGCACTGCCGCAAACAGTCGCAGGAACCAGAGCCAGGCCCCCCCCACACCTCCCCGCCCCCTTGCCGCCCAGTGTCGAAACGCCGGATGAGAAAACGCTCACCTGTTGGGAGTCGGGCCACCTCTTCCTGGGGTGTCGCTGCCCGCGCCTCCGCCCCTCGGCCTCGCTCCGGCGTGCTGCCCCCCGACTTCTCCCCTCGACTCCGCCCGGACGCCGCGCGCCCCCCCCCCCCCACCGGGGCCCGTCCAGAAGCGAGTAGCCCGGGCGAGATCCCCTCCGACACACCAGGTCGTTTGTCCTTCTCCTCATCCTCCTCCCCTCCTCCCCCTCCTCCTCCTCCTCCTCCTCCTCCTCCTCCTCCTCCTCCTCCTCCTCCTCCTTCTCCCACTCCTTCTCCTCCTCCCCCTCCTCCTCCTCCTCCTTCTCGCTCCTCGCTCCTCGCTCCTCGCTCCTCGCTCCTCCTCCTCCTCCTCCTCCTCCTCCTCCTCCTCATCATCATCATCATCATCCTCCTCGCTCCTCCTCCCCCACCCCTCCTCCTCCTCCTCCTCCTCTTCCTCCTCCTCCTCCTCGTCCTCCTCCACGTGCCGAGTGGATAACAACGGCACGGACGGAAGCATACCCCACCGATTGTTGTGATTTCGCACGATTGGTTATGTGATTTCGCACAGCAGGATTTTGCAGTTTTGCCTGCGTCCGCGCGCCTGTGACGAATGATCAGTTCTTGTCCAGGGAAGTGTACGAGCAAGCAGTGGGACGAAGAGGGGATGGGATAGCTGTCAAAGCGAAGATCGGGATCGAACACACATGCACGCGCGGACCTTTCGATGTGGGAGCCTCTTGGCAACCTATTCGGGCCATCCGAGAATGCTCTTGGGACCAACTTGAAAGCAGTTGGGCTTTCGCGGGGCCATGTCAGGGTCCTTTTGGGCCCCTGAGGGGCCTGTTGGGACAATCGTGGAGGCCATCTGTGACAGACGTGAAACGCCAGCCGAGGCAAGCTAGCGACAGGCACGCCGCCCAGCTGGCGGCGCAAGCGGTGGTCTGACGACACCTGCTGGTGCCTGCCAAGTCTAGGCTTCGCTCCGCGAAGCTGCGAGGTGACTTCCCTCAGCCGTGAAAGAGGCTGGTGCGAGCATGGTGCTCCGTGCGCGCGGGTTTTCAGGGTTGGGCCTCTTGCGAGGGTTTCTTGCGACCGCGCCCGCGCCAACGTGGCCTGAGCCAACGTGGCATGATCTTGCACATGGGTGATTGGAAATGCCTTGCCGAGCGCTTGGTGCGCTGCGCGCCCATCCCTTTCGACGGGACAGCTTTCGTGAGGTGGCGTCCGTCCGTCCGTCCGAGGTCCCCCCGTCGAGGGCCAAACTCTTGGGGCCTTCTTTGGCCCCTCCTGGGGCTGCCTCTCGTCATCCTGGAGCCATCTCAAGGCCTCAAGCGCCCACCGGAAGCGAAGAGGCGAGATGGCAAACAAGTGCCTTGACCCCTACCATTTGGGAAGGGTTCCATTTTCTCGGTGGGGGGGGAGGGAGCTTCTGTGGCCGCTTGGAACCGTCCTGGGGCGGGATCGCACATTCGTGGAGGCATGTTGCAGGCTGTCTCGACCCATCTTTGCCTGTGCGATCCTGGAGGCCATCTTGGGCCCTGACTCCCGGGGGGAGGGCGCGTTGGTGCCAGGCCTCGCGGCGCGAGGGGCGCGCGAAGCGAGCCGGCCGCGCTCTTCGCGCCCATCTCGGCCCGGTCGCCTCGGAGGCGCCCTGCCCCGGAGCGGCGGACGTTGCGGCGCGGAGGGGGGCGCACACTGGCTGGGCGCGGCGCGCCCCAAGCGGCGGTGGCGAGCGCGCCGCGTGGATACGGTCGGTCGGGGTTCGCCGTCACCGCACGGTCTGGGGACTCTCTGGGCCTCCCAAGAACGGGGTCCGAGCGCGGTCCCAAGACCGTGCGGTGACGGACCGCGCCGTGAGGCCGCTGGGGCTTCCGAAGTCACCACGCGGTCCGCCACCACACGGCCATTGGGGCCCCCGATGGGCGCGGCGCTGGAAAACTCCATCCGGCGGGCTTCCCCCGGTTTTGGGCTTTGGGGGAGCCTTCGCCGGGCCCTGCGTCAAATTTTTTTCGGGATGCAAAAACCGGCTCGCGGCCTGCATCGCTGGGAGACAGCCTCGAGGCACCCACACCATCACTTAAAGAGTTGACCCGTTGGGCAGCGCCGGCCACGCGGCATCCCGAGTGCTGCTGCAGAGCCCCTCGGCCTTAGCGTAAACTCATGAGTTTCACCATGATGACACCAATTTGTTCGGCCACAGCTTTCAACAGCAGGCGTCCAGATGCTCGCCACGAGGCGTGAAGGCGCCACGTGAAACCTCAGACAGCTCTCGTGCCGCCGGCGATGAGATGCGATGGAAAAACCGGCCCAGGGGAAAGGGTCGCGATTTCTTGGGACCGCGTACGGTGGGGGCGTTCGTTAAGGAATGGGCCCAGGAGGCTCCAGGCCCTGGAGGATTCCCTCGTCTAATCAGGGCGGCGGTGATCTCCATGGCCACTCCACGATTGGAGTTCCGCTGGCTTCTAGACCCTGGATCCCTTATCCTATGATTCCTTATCCAATGCCTGCACCGTGTCCAAGAAGCTGAGCTTGTGGCAGTCGATCAATGGAGAGGAAGCGTGCTGCCAAATGATCTCCAGATGCCCCAAAGACGTTTCAAGCATGTCAAGCGCATCTTAAATTCGGTGACAGGCTGGTAAGAGTGTCCGGTGCCATGGCGTCCACGAAGCTAAACGTCGGATCTCTGGGCGCTCGCGGTGAAGCACCACGGCGGAGGATGTGGGGCAGCTTTCGGCCTCCGGGGGGCCCTCGCCGTGCCCCATGGGGCCGCCGGGAAACGGCTCGGGAAGAAGTGCGGTCGGGCGCCTGGTATGATCCAGCAGTGGCGAAGCGTCCTGGCGCGGCTACAGGCCTGCCGAACAATGCTCTAAGAGCCTGTTGTGGCTCCCTCCAAATGTTCTCAGGACATGCCTGGCGGAGTCTGACTTGTCTTAACACATGAGGTGTAAGTTCTAGTAACATTGTTTTTGTGACTAGAGCATGGTTGGGTTCTAAGAACATTCGTGGTAGGACTATAGAGATGCCCGGACGGTCGGCCCCTGCTCAATTTCAAGAAATCTCTGGGAAGTTGGCCCAGATTTCTTGAACGATAGTTTTCTTGATCATATTCTCGACTGTAATGCAAGTCCTGGGGAAGGGTTTCAGCTCTCTGGGGGCTCACGTGGCAAAGAAACCACGACGTCGGAGTTCTGGATATGAGCCGAAGGTCGACGACTTGGGCCACTCGTGAGGGAATGCGGAGCTGCGGGAGGGGGGAGGTCGAAGAGGAAAGGACGGCGGTGGGGGAGAGGAGGGGAGATCTCGAGAGGAGGGGGGCGGGGGACTGAGGTGGGCAGGGCTGGATAGCATATTTCCCCCAATCCGCCTAGGAAATGCTCAAGATGCAGATCAAGCTCGGCGGCGCGAACGAGACCGACGGGGAGGCAGCGGAGAAGATCGCCGAGGGCGCCATGGCTTTTAGAGACAAGGAGGTCAGAGAGGTGATGACACCGATTGAGGACGCATACTTCCTCTCTGCGGACACCCGCCTCGGGTTCCAGGAGATAAAAGAGATATTCGAGATGGGATTCAGCCGAGTTCCTGTGTACCGAAAGGAAAAGAACGATTACATTGGCGTGCTACACACGAAAGACCTCATGTTTGCTGACCCCGAAGACGAGATGCTGCTAGGTGATTTCATTAATATTTTCGGGCGCAAGGCGGATACGTTTTTCCCTGCCGACAAGCTTCCAGAGGTTCTCAAGAAGTTCAAGACTGGTGGCGCTCACCTCGGGATCGTACGCAGACCTTGCATAGAATCGGATGTGAATCCCACCTACCACATCGTTGGCGTAATTACGTTGGAGGATGTCATGGAGGAGATCATCCAGGATGAGATCATCGACGAGCACGACGTTTTCGTGGACGTCGACAACCACATCAGAATCAAGGGGCGAGACAAGAAGACAGCGGTCCCCCTCGGCTTCTTCGACCCCCGTTGGAGGAAACGGTTGTACTGCTCCTCTTCCGCCTTTTACGTGCCCCCAGCCGCTCTAAGTCGCACAGCGCGAACCCCTTTCGTGGGAGGCGTGAGTGGTAAGGTGGCACACTTCTTGGCCGTTGTGTTCACCGAAGGTTATTGGGAGCGCTCCGTATACACAGACTCTCTCTCTCTCTCTCTCTCTCTCTCTTTCTTTTTATTGAACAGATCAACGGTGGTAGCATGCATACACAGTTACACATACGTCTATCTCTCTATCTATATATATATATATATATACAGACATACATATGTGTATGTGTGCATGTGTGCCTGACAGCGTGGATTCTGAACAGGATGTGTTTGCACTCGTCATGTGCAACCTCTTGAGTGCAATATGTGGTTCGGGCTGCCTACGTGATGCAATATGTATATCTGTATATGGAAATATGTACATCTATTCATGGTATATGGATGAATGCCGTATCCATCCCGCCCTGGGCCGGCACCTCGCCACCATCGGGCTCCCTTTTCTAATACCGCCTCCCTGGGGCCTCTAAGAGGCCTGACGACTGCCCCAGAAGCCTTCAAGACAGCATGAGATATCCCCAAGACCGCTCAACAGAGGCCCAAGAGGGCCCGAAGACGGCCCAAAAGGGAACCAAGAGCGCCCAAGACGGCCTCAGCACGGCGAAAGAGGTCCCCAAGACGCCACAGGAGAGTTCCCGTCGCGTCCCAAAGAGGCTTCGTTGAGACCAAACATATGGATGTCCCTTGGTGTTTGCGTGATGTTTGTGTTTTCGCTTTTTTCTTGGCTTCCGAACGCCCAAGACGCGGCTGGGAGGCCCCCCAAGAGAGCACCAAGAAGGTTCCAAAGGGCCGCAAGACGGTCCAAGAAGGCTCCCTCCGAGACGACGCGTGTGGGCGTCGGGGAGGACTCCAAAAGAGAGCGCAAGAGGCCTCAAGGCGGCTCAGGGGCGCCACGGGACGGCCCGTGAAGCAGCCTAAGAGGACCCAAGGTGTAAGTCGGGCCTGCCCCTCTGCTGGAGGAAGATTCGAGAATAGTCAAAAAGTAGTCTGGGGACGATTTTTGTTTACCACTTTGACCATTTGGGGGTATGTATGGGAATATATTTGGAATTTCGTCCAAAATCCGCCTGTAGGGAGACAGGCCCGATCTAACCCAAGGTGAGCCGAACACGGCCCAACACGGCACCACGGGCGCTCAAGATAGTTTGAGCATGGTCCCCAAAGAGCTTTCGAGGACGCCGAACATGTGGATATCCCAGAGGTCGTTGCAGGATGCTTGCGGTTCCGCGCTTCCCGTCCTCCTCTCCTCCCTCCCGCGGAGGAAGCGGCTCGACACCCTCACCGAGGAGGAGGTGCATGCCGTCAAGCGCCACCTGGGCCGGGGTGTCTTCGGCCCCGGCGGTGGCCTGGAGCTCAGCCCCAGGCAGCGCCAAAGGGGAGCAGCACCAGAGGGGCTCGGGGGCCTCGGAGCTCGAGGCTCAGAGCGCTCGGGCGGCGCTCCAGTTCCGGGGCTGCTCTCCCGGGAGGCGCCCCGGGGTGCCCCGATCGTCCCGAGCGGCCGCCAGAGGCCGCAGCTATGACCCGAGAGCCACCAGGCGTCGAAGAGGGAGGTGAGGGCTACGGGTGGTGGCTCCCCGCGGGGTTTAGAAGCGGGGAGGTGGCAGGACAGGTTCGCACGGCTGCGGACATCGCTTCTCACAGCCGGTCGCAGCAGCAACTGCGGGAAGGTGACTCTGGCCTCAGCCGCAGAGCCAGCCGGCGGGAGTCGTGCAGATCGCCTGCTTCCCAACTGACTCGAAGAAGAAACAACTATATAAACATAATTTGTGGCGCTCCGCGCGGATCCAAGAAATCCGCGCGGAACGCCAAAAGTTCATGTTTATGTGGTTGTTTCTTCTGTGCCGACGGGAGGGGGGTTCATCTCTGCTGCAGCGGCTAAAGGAAGAGGAGGACGACGACGAGGCCGCGCGTGCCCGCCGACGGTCGGCGGCGAGGCAACAGCTGTAGAGCGCGAGCGGGCTAGCCAACGTGCTTGCAGGCCGGCCAGGGCCATGAGATCTCTCCGATTCCGTTGCCCCCCCCCTTTCGTCTTTCGGCACATTCGGTGGCCCCCAGCTCGTCTGCGGTCATGGCTGCAGCAGTGATGCGCGGCCCGGAGGAGGGGGAGGAGGAGGAGGAGGAGGAAGAGGTGTTAACATGCAAGCGTTCAGGTGACTGGGGAGGAATAGTAACCCTGTTACCTTTGGCTCAAGTGTTTAACGGCTGAAGCCACCGAGACTCGCTTCGCCGTGCGGGAGTATAAAGGTGACCGATCATCATCACTGTTACTGGGCTCCCGTGCAGAACCCTCCTCGGGGTTTTGCATGGTAGCGGAGCGCGGTTGCCATGGCGGCGGCGGCGGCCGCTGCAGCTAGGCCTGGGCAGGGCGACCCGCCGGTTAACCTCAATGTGCCGGCAGACAGAGATGCATGGGTCAATATGGACCCTAACCGCTTCAATGACCTGTGCGAGCAGGCATACCTGAACGGAGACTTCAGTTACGTTCAGACAGCGTTACTTGCAAACCACTATGGACTTGCAACGTTCATCAACGAGCGAGTGACACAGGACCGAAGGGAAGTATCGAACGCCGAGGGATTCCAAATGTTACAGAGTGCTCAGAAGACCAACAGCATGTTGTTAGCAATTACGAAGAGAAACGCTGCACTTGAAAGGGATGCTCGCAGGCTGGTGGAAAGAGTCACCGAGTTGGAGACCAACAGCGAGGTACAATATAAGTTGATTGAAAAATTTGGTCAGCTTTCGGAAGCAAACAAAGGAGGAAGTGGAAGCAAGCACGGGAGCGGTAAACCGATAAGCGAATATAAAGCATTACAGGCGTTAAAGAACTTCAGTGGAGAAAGAGCAAAGTTCAGGGACTGTAGCGACAAGTTCTTAAACGCGCTGGCCCAAGTAAAACCGAGTTACCGACCGGCACTGACAATGCTGAACAAGAAGTTGGATACACTCGACGGAGTTGTACCAGAGGAGGATGATGATGACATCATACGCATAATGAACGGCCGATTAACAGCAAGCGAATACTTGAAGGCGAATCCAACTAAACAAGCAGAGGATGACAACAAAGGAGAGTACGAGTTTACCGAGGGAGACAAAACTCAAATGGAGGAAGACTTATGGTACATCCTTAACGAGAAGCTCGAAGGTGCAGAAGCAAGAGGAACATTGAAGGGACTTATGGATGGTGATGGAATTATGGCTTGGCAAAAGGTTTACAAGTGGTACTCGGCTGTTACCGGAGCGACTCTGTCATCAAAGATGACACACGCCATGAACCCTGAGCCGCCCAAGAAGATTACTGACACTGTCACCCGACTTGAGGAGTGGAGTGCATTGGCAGAAAATCTTGAAAAGTATGGTAAATATTACTCACTGCCCCTCCCCTTTAAGGTCACCGCACTCAGGGCAATCATGGTGCATGCGAACGATTGGTTTGACGAGTGGCAGCAGGCGTGCTGGCGAACGCCCGACGCGCTTAACATTGACTCATTCCAGAAGCTATACTCTAAGTGTGAAGACTGGGCGCGTAAAAAGAAACTCGACTCAGACACCAAGAATAAAGATGCGATGGACATTGGGAATGTCAACGAGACAAGTCAAGGGTCCGAAAATGTCTGGGACCAGACAGGATGGGTTGACGAGGACGGAAATTGGTGGCCAGAAGATGGATATTGGAGTTACGGGTCCTGGGCCAATGAGAGTAACAGTGGAGATCATGAAGAAGTCGACGCCGTAAACAAAGGCAAAGGTAAAGGCACAGGCCCCAAATGCTACAATTGTGGAGGCATGGGCCATTTAGCCAGGAATTGCACAAAACCTAAACAGTTCACCAAAGGAGGTAAAGGTGGCAAAGGCGGAAAAGGCAAGGGTTACCGGGCCACCTACGGGTCCTACATGAGAGGTAAGATTGGAGGCAAACAAGGCGGTAAAGGGAGTGGCTCGTGGGGTGGAAGTTATGGAGGCCAAGGAAAATCTACCCCCCATAGCGAGCGTGAGTGTTACAAGTGTGGTGCCAAAGGGCATATCGCCGTTAACTGCCCGGGCCCCAAGAAGACCGCCAACGAAGTTGAGCAAGAGAGACCGACACTGAACGCGGAAAGTGAACAAACCACCTCATTTGGCCAACCGCAACATGTTCTCAGCGTTGAAATGAGGGATGCAGTGAACGTGCCACCAGACCAACTCACAACCGAGGAGGTTAACGGGCAATGGGCTCCGCCCTCATATACCAGAAAGAAAATGGCGCGTAAAGTCGCAATGGGCCTGAGAAGAGTTTACCGCGAGCATCAATGCAACGGGGACTGCAATCATGTGAATCAATGGGACCAGAGGATAAGTAAAAGCGTGGAACAGGAAAAAAGTTGGCTGGAGAAATGCAGAGAGATTGGGCTAATCGAGATGCGAGACTGTGATCCAGAAGTAAACGCGGTGCCACCTCAGAGTACAACGCATGAGACAATTGTGGTTACCGTGGACTCTGGGGCATACAACACGGTGGGACCCCCCAAAGTAGGCACCTATTTCCCCATTAAACAAACGGATGCGTCAAAGCAGGGAAGACATTACAGCGCAGCAAATGGAACGACGATAAAGAATTACGGGCAGCGAGTGGTCACCGGCAAGAATGAACATGGAAACGCAGTCAGCATGCCGATTCAGGTAGCGGAAGTCAACAAAGTTCTGGGATCCGTCAGGGAAATGGTAAACGCTGGAAACAGAGTTGTGTTTGACAAGGATCTTAACGGGAGGTCCCTGAGTCGCATCATGAATAAGGCCACAGGTAAATGCGCAACTATCCACGAGAAGAACGGCACGTTTGAGTTCAACATCACGGTGCCGAAGGGACCAGCGGAGGCTGTTAATCCCAGGAGTGAAGTGAACGCAGCTGAGGGTTTTCCGCGGCCGGGAACCCTGGAGGCGGACCTGTTCTACTAAGCCCCTCATTACCCGTAAGACCAAGCGAAAACTGAAATGTCTTTAACGCCGAAGAAGGCGAAGGGAGTGAAAGTGGGGGCAGCGAGAGTGAGTTGAGTGATGTGGAAGATGTATTTGTGAGCGATGAAGCGGAGTTACCGAAGAAAGTTTACTGTGACATGAGGCCCTCAAGGGAGGAAGTTGACGCACAACACAACGCATCTACCTTACCGAAGCTGGTGCCCACATTGTGTTAGAGGAAAAGCACGCAGGCGCAATCACCGGAGACGCAAAAGGGAAAGGAACGGAAACGTACCAGTGATTTCAATGGACTACATGTGGCTTCAAGGGAAAAAGGAAGAAGGCGAAAGTGCCAGCAATGGCAACCCAATTCTGGTCATGCATTGCAGGGAGACCAAATTAACGTGGAGCCGAGTGTTGCTGAAAAAGGGAGTGGACTCATACTCAGTAAAGGTGGGATGTGACATGATCAGCTTTACCGGATATAAGAAGGTTATACTCAAAAGCGATGGAGAAGCGGCAATCACGGCGCTGGCCAACATAATTAAAGCGTCGTGTGACCTCGACATGGGTGTTGAAGTCAGTCCTGTAGGCGACTCAAAGGCCAACGGTGAAATCGAGAGAGCAGTTAGGGCGGTGCAAGGGCAAGTTAGGACATTAAAGAGCGCCTTGGATGCCAATTACAAGACCGAGTTTAGTGAGAGCCACACGATAATACCATGGCTGGTGAGCTATGCGTCTTCTCTGATTAACAAGTTCACGATAGACACGGATGGAAAGACAGCCCATGAGAGATGCAGGGGGAGAAAGTTTAACAAGCAAATTCCTGAGTTCGGCGAATGTGTCATGCACTTAAAGACGCCTGCACACAAGGGCCGCGAAAAGCTTGAAATGAGATGGGAAAGTGGAGTGTTTTTGGGAATAAACGAGAAGAGTCAGGAGCTAATTATTGGGACACCAAATGGAGCAACCAAGGCGCACGAGTTTAAACGGAAAGGAAGCGAAGCGGAAAGATGGAACAGCGACGAGATTACCGAGATGAAGGGGTTACCTTGGCAGCCTGACCCCAGTACGGCAGGAATGGAATTACAGTCTAGAATCATGGTGCCCATGGACTTGCCAGAGCAAGAGTTAACGGCACCTGAGACGAAGCCGCTGATTGCGCGAGGAATAGCAGTAAAGAAGCACGAATATTTACAAATGGGACCGACACCGGGACGTTACGGGTGTAAATGTCTTGTTAGAGGAGACAAAGAGCACAAACCACATAATGTTGATTGCAGGGCTCGCGTTATCGAGTGGTTAAAGAAACAAGAGAGCCCAAATATCCAGGCAAGGCTAGCATCGGCCCAACTGAGACTCGAAAGTAAAGGCCGTGCGCCGGAAAGTCAAAATCAGGAATCAGAAAGTCAAGCGAAAAG